TGTTTGGCTTAGCATAGCTGTTAAGTCTCCTGCCCCTGGCTGCCACACTGAAGTTTCACATGCAGTGGGGCTGTTTTCTTTACATACACATTAATACACATATATGTTAACAGGCAGTGCAACACTTCCCCTGGCTGCCATTTGGGAGCACATCTAAAGCCCATTTTGATGTTGGAGAAGGTATTGTAATGATACGGTGATGGGTGATACATCTCCCAGCACACTCAGTACAACACTGGCAGTGTGAAGTTTTGCTGCCAAAACCAGTGCAAATCTCCTCCAGGCTTGCTCCGAGCTAGAGATGGGGGAGGACTGAGAGTGGTTCTGAAGATGTTTGTGGAAAGTTTGAGGATTTTTAAATATTGGAAAATTGCAGCGGTTTGGTGCAGGAGGAATGTTCAAAGCAAATACAGGTGGGTGTGGTAATTGTTGAAGGTTATTTATCACAACCAGACCTAGAACCCTGGGATTTTCAGCTATGGTAGGGAAGGTCTAAACTCTTAGAGTCATCCATGAGGCACAATAGTTTGAGTCTGCTTTCTGCTATTGCCCTTCCAGCCTCCCCATGGAGAGGAGGGAAGAAAGCCTCCCCATTTGCTCTCCAAGTGTAACTTCAGACAGGTGGAAGATGGCTAGAGGAAAAGTGGGGAAAGAGAGGCATGGGCAGGGTGCAGGAGTAAGCCTGCTCTGGGACACAGGTGCAAGATGTTTCTGCAGGGCTGCACCGCTATATTCTACAGGAGACTGAGGCTGGTAGCTGGGAGGATGGCATGGAAAGGCAATTATGTTTTTTTTAAAAACCCCTTGTCACTCACGGGTTATACCAAAATGGGAGTCCTTGCATACCAGGCCTGTCATGGATGAGAGAAAAGTCCTGATCAGGTATTGATCTTAGCACATCAGAAAGCTTAGGGCACAGCTCAGGAGGAATGTTTGTGCTGTTAGGTAGTAGTAATGCAACAGCTGAGATTGTGGAGCTGGAAGCCTGACCAGACTAGGAAAGGATCTGATGCTCTTGAGGATCATATGTTAAACATGGGTCAACAACCCCAGACTATATAAAAATGTCATGTTCCAGTGTATAAACAGGAGTAGATCCTGTAGGACATGGGAAGCAACCCTTTCTCTTTGAAACGTGTTTGCAAGGCCTCAGCTGGAATGGGGAGTCCAGTTCTTATCACCACAAGTTGGAAGAAGAGCAAGGGGCAGCTGGGTAGACAGGGATGGCAAAATGTGTCAGACCTGTGTGGAATGTGCAACCTGTGAGGGGGCAACTGAGGAATTCAGAGCTCTACGGATCCTGACGGGAGGTGTAAAGGGCCATTTTCAAAAACACAGGCTTCTGTAGCAAGAAATAACCTCCTTACTGTGTCTGTGATGGATGGGAGATGAAATAGTGGCTTAAATTGCAGTAAAGGAGACAGAATAAACAAAGAAATAAGTGTAGACATGCTGAGACACTGAAATTGATTGCACAAGAGGGTCATGAAGTCTCTGCTAGTGAAGGTGTTGAAGGTTCAGTTCAGGTAACACAGGCCCACGTGTTTGGTTTTGAAGGCCTTCAAAAACTTTTCTGTTCCCCGTTTTCCTACATGCACTTAAGACTGTTGTGTGTGTGAATTCTATACTAGAGCCATAGTTTGGTAAAGCAGCAGGTGACTGGAACACATGAAATCTAAGAATGTCAACTGAAAACAGCTTTTTGAGTGAAGTGTGAGGAGTGTAAAACTGAGACAGAGGACTAGTAATGTAAATGAAAACTGTAAAATAGAAAAGGAAATTAGTAGATATGTGTCATTTGCCTTGTTCCTCAAATTTGCCTTTTTGGTCATAAGGAAGTAATTAATGTTAATTTGAGGCTAAAGGCAGCAGTAACCTTCTTGTGAACACTGAGTGGCCTTTTTGAAGGTTCAGCCTGCAGAAACTGAATCCTCAGAAGAGCTTTTTCCTGAGTGAAGGACAAAGAAGAAAGAAAGGTTTGCTTCCTTTGCACACTTGCCTGTAGGGCCCTGCCTCATTTTCTGTGAAGGACAGGAGATGTCTGTATAGGAAACGGCTGGAGTTTGTTGAGAAAGCCACACAAGTAAATAAAAACAGAGAAAGAGAAAACCTGCAGGACAGCAAATTGATGTTTAAAAAGTAAACCAAAGGTGTGATATTGGCATACCAGGATGGCCAGAAGGCAGGTGAAAGAGAAAGGATGAAAACTATTACCTGTCCACATAATGCACATAGTCTGAGAGCATTACTTGATGTCTGCAGAGCAAGTATAAATTTCTGGAGGTCAGCAGTATGAACACTTTAGAATATGGTCAAAAAGTTGCTTCACTGAAAGTAGTGATTTATTTACATCAATATATTGGGAAGGATGCATGAGAATGTTTTCTATTTAGGTAAGCCAGATAGAAGCAAGCAATAGAAAGCAAAGTTAGAAACAAAAGGATGCATTGAGTGGAAAAGTGTCAAGTCTCTATGACAGTGGAAGAACAGAAAAGTGAAAAACATGTGATAGGAGATAATAATGATGTCACCTTGTAGAAACTACAGTAAGATACCTAATATCCCCCTAAAATATATATGAGAGAGTACATAGAAAAGGGATTTGGACTACTTATGATATTTTTGTTTGGGTACTGTCACCTTTCTAGTTGGCTGGCTCAGGAGCTGCTGCAAGGCCTGTTGTTTCTGATTGTTCAGTAACTCCTTTGTAGTGATGGTATCTGTGCAAATGCCCAGCCTCATATGCATCGGATGTGAAAGAGTTTGCTGACCCTGAGATAAGTTTGCCTTGACATCTGTCAGTTGCTAGAAGAGTGCAGATGACCGCATGCTTTTACATGGCCGGCAGTTTGAACGTGGGATTTCACATCGGAGAGCGCTGCCTGGGTAGTGACACCCTGTCTGGAGCTTTGTGACCTGCTGTCCTCAAGGAGTTCAGTGCATAGCTGAACATCAGCTTTGCTGGGCTAGCTCTTTACTTCTTTGATGTAATGCTCTCCCTGCATTTTACATTTTACGTGTTACTCTCCTCTCTGGAAAGTCAAGAAATACATCTAGAGAATTTGGTGCACATTTGCCCTCGTGCCAGAGGTCAATTCAGTTGGCTCGTTCAGTTGCTCAGCTCCTTCTCATTTCAGCATGGAAGATACCTTGGGACCATAGCAGCATTTGGAGTCAGTGTAAGGATTTGGTGTAATTCATTTTGAAAAGACCAACTGACCAGCCTGCCAGTGGGTGAAATGAAACTCCCAACATGTAGGGTTTTGTGTCTTGAAAAAAATTGAATCATATGGAAAAAAAAAAAAAAGATGTGCTGAGGCTCCAGCCCCAAACTCATTTCCCAGCAGGGTTTTAACCATGTGAAAAAAACCACCTATCCTCTCAGTCAAAAAACGTCATGCCAATCCAAGGCCCTTGAAGGGAAGGTGCAGGAGAGCTGGTACAATTAGTGTGCAATCTCATTAGCCTGTACCATTTTCTCCCTGTAGGCACTTGCTTGATTTGATTATAGCAGTAAAGATATAGTGCAGTTTGAAAAGACAGACCAGTCCTGCATTATTTGAGCTCACAAAAGCTGTCCCCTGTGGATCAGACACCTATTTCTATTGTTTCCTTAAGGCAAAAAAGCCATCAGAAGTGCCTTTATTGGCAGCGGTTGCTTCATGCAGGGAACCTGCCAAGATTAATATACACAACATTCCCCTGCCCGCCTCCTGCTTTCAAAAAGTAACCAGCATAAAAGTATTATTCAATTAGTACCCAGTCAGAAACCTCATGTTGTCTGAAGTTGTTACTAAGAAGACAGTGGTTATTAATGATGTACCAAGCTGCGTGTTTCAGTAGAACTTTGGAAATTATACAGATGTGTTTATTTACAGATGACTGGTTAATTTTGCTTTGAATCACTAAGTAATCTGCGGAAAACATATGTAGCAAGTATCTTAGGTATAATTTATTCATTGTTCCTTTAATTATTCGGTTTGCCTTCATTTCATGTTGTCAGGTTTTTGGCTGCTGTTATTAATAAAAGCAAACTGAAAACCCATGTAGCTGAAGATATAATTTCTTTAGCATATTTCAAATAGGCAGGGGATTCATCTTTTGTTGAAATGGATTGATTTACTGCAACTACTGTCTAATGCACTACTATAGAATAAGTTAAAAGCTTATAAAAATTTTAAGCACTCCTCTGAGGAAAGCACACTCAAGTCGTTTGCAATATCTATGTAGAATTATCTCAAACTTTTTTGGTTGTTGGAATGGAGAGAAAATATCACTTCTAGAAATTTATTGTAATTTCAAACAATAAATTGAAACAGTATCAGTTAAAGCTAATGAAGAAAAGCAGCACTGTAATTTGTCACCTCTGAGTTAGAGATGATGACTTAAAATGTCAATGTGTCCCGTTTGCCAGCTATTGCAGACTGATGATAGTTAATCTCCTAACTAAACACATGCAAAAAACCCCCACCAAGACCCAAACTACTTATACCAGCACCAGTAGTATTCCTTTTTGACCAAGTGCTATTTTGTAGGTTGTTATCTGTAAAATAGTTTCTTTCCCAATTTTTTGCCTAAGTCAGATTTTTTTTTATATTGTTTTTTTGCATCATAAATTTAGAGAGCTGAACATTCTCGGGAATGTAGTCTTGCTCTGACTCTGTTCCTTGGTCTGCTCTTTGGACAATTTCACTTTAAAGGAGTTGTTGTTTTCTGCTTGATGACTTTCCTATCCCAGGAAAGTTTCTAGCAGAGATTATGTACTGTGTAAAATCAAAACGAGCTCTGATCTTAAAAGTCATACAAACAAGCAGAGGCCTCCTTTTTTCTCATCACGTAAATCTTGTGGAGATAGAAAACTGTAAAGATCTGGGATAAAAAAAATTTTATTTACAAAAATGCTGTGCATTTTTTCCCAAGAAAGTTTTCACTCTGTCTCTCCAAAAGTACAATTGGTGCTACTGTTTACTGCTCTAATTTGAACTGGATTTATTTTGTAGCTATCCGTTGAACAACAGCGATCTGCATCCGTTCAACATTGAGGAGAATGGTGGAACTCCATATACCACAAAAATGGCTGCAAGGCACCACCACCACCATCGGCATCACCACCACCACGCCAATTATGGTGCCCTTGCTCCCGAAAGCAAGGACATTGTTTCTGCAGTTCCAAATCCAACCAGTAAGTCTGCTGCAGTGATTGTTATTTCAGTGACTGTGCTGTTTTCAAGTTTGTCTCAGGCAAGAAGGCAAAGGAAAGTAAAACACTGTGCATTTCGGTTTTCCTCCTTGAAGAATGTGCTTCCTATTATTATTTGCTAGCTTTGTAGCATGTGCAAATGAGACAAAATTTGCAATTTCCTTGGTTTGCTACAGGGTTGTGGGATTTGGTGTTAGGTGGGTGTTCCATAGCTGAACAAATACCCCATTAGTCACAGATACTGACTCTCTAACCACTTGGCACACGCTTCTTTTTCGTTGTTACTATTTGTTTGTATAGTTTCACAAACCTACCCTCATCTGCTATTGTCTTTTGCTGATCTGTCCAGCTGGCCCTCAGCCCTCATTGTTTGGATCTTGTTTTCATGTCTGGGCACAGGCAGCAGAAATTTTGGAGCCCTGGACATACAGCATCTCGCTCTTAGTTTGGGTTAATCAGAATAATTGCAAGCTTTAGCTACCAAGACTGGAATATTCTTGCTTCCTTAGTGGAGAAATTCTTGGCTTGTAGAAAGCAACAAGGAGAGAAGCTTATCCATTCCTGATGTAGTCTGTGGGAGTTTGGGTGGAAGTCTCTGCTGCTGAATGTGTACAGGCATTTTTAAGGGTACGGAGCTTGGCCAAATATTTTACACAGGAAGAGAAACATCCCTGTCACTGAGCAGCCCTAATTCCTGCTCCCAGATTTACAATCTCTGCACTCTGCAGTGTGTCAGAATCTGAAGCTGTGTAAGAATGTCAGATGATGGGCAAAACAAGATATGATCTATTATATTCCTTGTCTCTAGGAAACGATGATTTCTTCCCTTGCCCAGTTTTTGCCTTTGTTACTGTAAATGGCCCTGAGATAGCTATCCATTACAGAATTTTTCATCCCGGTCAGTTAATCTGATAATTTTCAAATTCCTGAAACCAGGGTCTGGGACTGGGTGACCCTGACTGTAAGCTGTCCCACCTCAGCAGTACTGCACCGGCATCTATCTGGACGAGCACGTAAATCAGACTTTGTTTCAGAAGATCAGGAACATTTTCTTTCACTTTCTTTCCCCAGGAGAGTGCGATAGTTTCGAGGTATTTGCATCTCGGCCCTGCTCTGCAGCCAGCGGCACCCCTCAGGCGGGGAGCGCGGGCTGCGCTGCCGTGCGGCTGCGGGCCGGGCCGGGCCTCGGCCGCGCCGGGCGCAGGTGGTGGGGGCATGCTGGCAAGGCTGTGCTGGAAAACCTCTCCCGGCTATCAGCCTGGCACCGTGGGAGGCGGTGACCTTTCTGGGGGGTGTGCCAGCCCATATTTTCCTTTCCCAAATTAGAGCTGAAGCATGCCAGGAAATTCATTCAGAGCCAGCTATGCTGCTGCTGAGTGTCCCGACCCAGAAGGCACTGCCGGCCCTGCTTCCCCCGACCGCCTTCTTCTGGCTCCCATCCAGCCCACAACTCCGTGCCAGACTCCCCTCCCGGTGCCCCCGCTTCAGTCCCCACGGTGCTGCTGCTCTCCAGCTCCCCACCGCCTGCCGTGGGCCCACCTGCGGGACAGGAGGGAATTAAAGAAACAGCAAAAACCACACAGCACCGGGTGTTTATTCCAGCACTCTGTCTCCTCTCGGGTCACACAGCTTTCCTGCTTCTCCTTATTGCAGAAATAACCTTAGGAAAAGCCCAAAAGAGCACAAGGGCAAACACCAGGAGCAGTTCTCTTTGTGCCCAGTGAGTGTTACCTGTGAGATGAAACTGCGGCCCAGGAGGCTCCGTGTCCTCCCCCAGACACAGGGAGAGTGAGCCCTCTCCCACAAACTGGCCCTGGTGGTGGGGAGCTGCCTCCCTGGCCTGTCTGGCAGCTGCCATGCTCTGAAGGGACTTCAGAAGCCATGGCATGTGTGGCACCTGTTGCTGGAGACAGATTCACCTTTCTCTTCACTTTGTCTCCTGAAGACTGCTCCACACTATTTGATGCAGAAGAAAATTGGTCTGGTTCCTGCCCAATGCCAGTAGCACGGAATGCCAGTTCCCAGTTTCTCTAAGGGAGTGGAAAGGGATGGAAGACCTCCAAGGAAAGGCTGTGGTGCAGCATGCTGACTGCTCCCAGCTGAGCTCTTTAGGCAGCTGTGCATGCAGTGTGCTGGGTGTCTTAATGCTGCCGTGCTGCCCTACTGCAACCCTCTGCTGATCATCTGTGGCACCCATGCATTCAGCTGGAGGTACAAAGCTGATTTCCCTTGAGAAGCCAGTCCATGGTTATATCTGGCATGTTCATGCTGTGAGAGCAGTGGCAAGTCTGGGTAGGAGCACTTCCCTTAAAACAGAATCCGACTTACTCATTTGCAGCTTGGGGTGATGGGTTTAAGTGCCTTTTCAAGGTTGGTGCTCAGGGGACTAGGGTTGGATTGTTTTTAATGGTTTCATTAAAATGCTGCTCAGGCTATTTCAGCTGAGAAAACTCTTGTAGAGAGCCTGTGGGAAAGGTTCACAGTGCATGTACTGAAATGGTTAGGAGCATGCTGGCCACTGGTTGTTTATGGAGGACATGGCACAGTGTGTGGGCCAAGAAAAAATCAGGCAGAGAGGAAACACTATCAGCAGTCTGCCTCAGGAACATGAGGACATGGGGGACTGATGTCTGGCTCCAGGCTGTGTGGAAAGCCAGTGCTCGGAAAGTGTTTCTAGGAAGTAAGTGGTCACTAAAATGGGGATGCTCTCAGGAAAGAGGGTGTTTGTGACCAAAATATCTCAAGTGGAAATGCCTGAAGAGCAAAAAGATCTCATGGGGCAAATACGCTATCCTAGCAGAAACTTCCCCATAAGGCTGACAGAGGTGACAGCAGTACTTAACCTACCTTGTGCTTTTCCATGGGACCACAGGTGTTTTGTGACTTGTTCCAGTTGCTATGGACTGGACTCATCACTGAGCTCTGAGATGGTTTTGAATTCCCCTGAAGTGGAACATGGCGTGACCCACTGATATGTACCGACCATCAGGCTGAGAGGGAGAAAGCATCTGCCTTTCTTCCACTTACATCTATTCTGAGAAATTCCAAAATTCCAGTGCAATTAGCCAGACATAGGCAGGAGAGAGGGAAACAACAATGGACCCAGCCAGGGTTCCTTTAAATATTAGTGCATGTTTCCCAGCAAACACACAGCACAGGACTTCATCACAGAAACAAACAGAAAACAAACCCAGGCCAGACCTGCTTGATTTTTCACATTCCAAGTAATTTGTCTACTTCAATTACTGGAGGAAGTGAAATCCAGTGAAACAAATCTGATGTGTGTGTTTATGAAGGCAGCTCAGCAGAAGATGTTGTTTTCCTGCATTCAGCCTGATTCTTGTGCTCACGATGCTACTCCTCACCTCAAAGCTAATGTACACAGATCACATCTTGTAGTGCAGCACATCTTCCCCCAGCGTATCCCAGAACCCCAGAAGTCCCACTCTTTGCAGCAGCAGTCGGCTTTACAGGGAAGAGAGGGTGAGCTGCTTGCTGAGCCTAATTGGCATGGCAAGGTCATGCATGGATTACCAGGTGCACATGAGCAGATTCACCGGCAGCAGCTGGGGCTATCACTGGGAGCAGATGCCAACACGTATGCAGTGCGGCTCACAGAATTTTTATGACAGAAAATGAGGAACGGGAAGAGGGGACCCAGGCTGCCTCTTGAACTCTGGGCTGAGCTTGCAGGTTATCACTTCAAAAAAAGGCATCCTTTATTCCTGAGCAGCTCGCTACGAAAGGCCTTGCATAACCCTGAGCAGAGAATGGTCTAACACAGACTGAGTTTCAAGCTGAAAACAGCACTTTGAAAAACCACAGTGCTGCCAGATCCTTTCTTGGAATGAAAGCCTGGGTTTGCCAAGACTTAATGCTGACTTAGGAAATTTATGCCTTTTGTAGGAATTCAATTTTTTTGCCTTTTCTTTTGTTTGTTTTTGAGGTTGGGTTAAAAGGCTAAACTGGCCTGCTTGTCTTCCAGAGCTCTCTCTTTAAACAACCAAAAAACCCCACAGCTTAAAAATCAGTTTTGAATAATAGCAAACTCAAATAATTTAAATAAGGCACTTCCCCCTCGCCCCTTATTTTCTTTCTTAGGAGGAAATTAGATTGACTGTGTTTCTTAAAAAAAAACTGCCCATCATCATGTCTGATTTTATGACTGTGGTAATTTATTCCCAGGGTATCAGGCAGTTTCACAGTCTCATATGCACAGAAGCAGCTGTGATGTGAGAAATGCTGGACTTCGGCAACACTAACTTGTGATGAAAGACCACCAAGAGGAGGTCAATACTGATATTGTAACCCTTTCTAGGGCGTTATTACCTCAGGGTCTGATAATGTTTCATTAACGACAAAACCAGCTTTTTGCTTATATCCCCATAAGCTGATTTTAGCAATTTGTCTCTAGTCAGCAAAGCGCTTAATGTATATTTAAACAGCTGTAGAATTAGATATTGAGTGAGTAATATTTAATATTCTTAGGACAGCTTAAGAACCTGATCCAAACCAAACTGCAGTCAGTGCAAGGTTTTTATTGGTTTCAGTAGGCTTTGAATCAGACTCCACAGAACTGGATTGTTCCCAACTGTTATTATCTAGAATCCATGGCAAGAAGAAATACGGGAGAACACAGAGATTCATTAAATCATCGCATGATGAAGTTTGTTTTTCTCAGAGTACTTGCAAGTATGTGCATATATGCCACAGCATCCCCAAGATAATGAGAGAGATCTTTTAGGGCTGTCTGAAAAAGTATTTTTTTCCTTGTCTTTCTGTGTCAGTAGCTTGCTCAAAATCTCTATTGACAAAGCACAGCAAATTCCTGACAACAGTCTTAAAGAGGCTGGCATATAAATAAAGATGTCTGAGAGAAGCCAAAAGCTATACTCTGATCTCTTTACACATCACATGTTTTGAGAGTGGCACCTTGGCTGCATAAATAATCCCTCTGGTGTCAACTAAGTTTTAGAATATAGAGGGGGTAGAGGCGGCGAGGAGGTAAGGAGAGAAATATTCTAGCCCAAAGCTGGCAAAAGCTCTGCTGAAATGAAAGGATGGGTGAGAAGGAGGAGGGGGAGGAATTGTTTGCTAAATAGAAAAAGGCAAAATGACCCAACAGGCATAATTATGAAACATTTTAGAGGGTCTTACAGAGAAGATGCTTTGCCAACCTCCGTCTCTTCAAATGCAGTTGAGTGTCTTGCTCTGAAGTTCTTCTGTAGCCTCCCTTCAGACTGTGTCTTTTTCTTTCTTTCTTTTGGGAATCCTTTTAGAACTGAGCTCAGGACTTCCCCTTCTTTATGATGAAACCTCTCATCTGAAGAAAATAGAAACGGAGAGTGTGAAGGTAGTTGGACCATGGCCAGCCCTGCACGTCAGCATGAACAAGGTATAGCATATACATATATACTTTTACATATATATGCCAGAGCACCTTTGTCACTTCATATTCAAAAGCTGCTGCTTTTTCACCTCCAAATCAATATTCATCTTCAACTGGCTTGCCTTTTAATCACCTCTCACCATCTTCTTACGGGACTGGGATTTGGTTTTTAGATTTAGCATTTCAATCAGCTTTGCCTTTTAAAATTTCAGAAGCTGCTGCAACAATGTTATGCTATAGTTTTAGTTTAGTTGTGAAGAGTTAGTCATCTAGGCAGCCCAGAGCTGTAAAAAAATAACAACACTTTAAGTGATAAAAAAAAAAATCTTGTTTTTCTACATGAGGAGTCCGTGTTATGCCATAAACTCCCCCTGGCATCTGATGTTAGTGGGTGTTTTATGAGACAGTTTTTGCAGGGGTGGCCAAACAGCTATGTCCTGCTGTTTCTGCCAGAGATCAGCAAGTCAGTGGCTCCTTGTATCCATGTGATGCTTAATCCACTGTGCCTGAACTGGGATCCCTTGATCTGAATCTGGACCAGGATCTCTGGTTTGCACCCACACAGGTCCTGCGCTGGACCCTGTGAAGTCAATGAGAGCATTGCCACTGTTTTCAAAAGAGGTGGGTCCTGGCCCCCAGTGACTCTGTACAGATCTTTTAAAAGAGAAGTGGTGTTTTGAGAGTTCTTTGTCAGCTCAAGGAAGAACTCAACTAAATTATTTTACCTTGGTTTTACAAACAGCCTTTTGTTATTGATATTAATTCAAAAAGCATTAGAGAAATTGAAATCCAAGGGAACATGACCAAGTATGCAAAAAATATAAGCACAAGGTGACCGTATATCTATATAGCAAAATCTTTCTCTTCTCTGGATGAGAGATCCCAGGAGATGGAAGTCAAGGCTAAAAATCAGTGAACCAGGTGTTTCTAATGAGAAAATTAAATATTGGACTTTTTTTCAATATTACAGTTAATTGAATTTAGTTTATAATGCAGAGGATTTACTATCGTTAAGATTTGCTTGAACCACGTTCAGTGTTTATCATAGGATTGTGGCGTAGTTCTGGTAGGGACTGCAGTCCTTATGCCTTATTAATGTAGTCATGAGGTAATGACCTGTGTCATGATTTTTGGAGATTTCTCAATGAACAGAAGAAGATGGAATATTTTAGACTTTCTCCCAAATCTATTTGGTTTTCACCTGTGAGGAGTTCTAATTGTGTCTAGTTCAAGTGGGAATTAAAAAGATAAATCATAAAGTCAGCAAACTGGGGTGAAATGGGAAAGTAGTCACCTTTCATTCCTATGTGCATTTCTCAAGTTCGTCTTCTAGAAATACTCTGAACTGATAATAAGTACAGCTTTTTATAGGCAAAGCTTGTTAAGCACTGACATAGTTTGCCAAAGGACAATTCTCCGTCTCAGACTCATCCAATGAATACCTGCGTCTTGTGAGAGGATTTGTGTAGTTCAGATGTGATTACTGACGTGCTATCTGAACCCCAGAGAAGAACATTCATCAGGTCAATGTCCAAAACATGCTTTAAAGGACTGTCCTACACTGTTGAGCTCTCTGAGAACTGAGTTTGGCATATTTAAAGGGCCAAAGTGAAGATGTGAGAGGACTCCCTCCACACTGACCATAACACGCATTGGGTAAACCAATCTGACCTGTGCTGCACAAAAACTTCAAAGATGTGATCTTAATGGTACCTCTGTGGTTTCAAAATTAGTAGATTTATGGTCTGTCTGCTTTCTTAAACCGAAAGCTTAAAACACTTTGGTCCTGTATCCCACCATACTGTGGAAGTAATCCAAATATTATACTTGCAACTTCTGCCTGATCTCTGATCCTCTCGCTTGGTCATATTCACTGCAAGTCTGTGGAGGGAGGACTCAGCTCTCTTATAATTAAAGGTTTTCTTTGGCTTGTCCCAGCAGCTCTAGAATCTTGTCCACAGTCAGATGGATTATTTATTTAAGGACTAATTAGCAGAACCCAGTTTCATAACAAGTCAGAGCTTCACAATAAATGCAGCTGCACAGTAAATGCAGCCTGTGTCTGCTGTGATGAGTCTGCCATCAGTCAAAGTTTAGCTGATGAAAAAGTCTTGTAATGAGCACCAAGAGCTGCTAAATGCTTCTGTTTCTGGCAGAAGCTCAGCAAAAGGCAAGGCTAGAGACATGGGCTGTCTAATGAAAACCCTCCCCTGGCAGTCAGAGAGGGTTTGGGTTTAAGAACTGGGCAGCATTCCCATGAACAGCAGCTACCATGTGAATGCAAAAGAGGCCAGACTTTCAAAATTTATTAAAATTACTGGTTTTAGCAATCTGAAAATTGTACAAACTCTTGAAACTGGCCCAGAATCACCCCTGGAAAGCATTTCAGTGATCCAGCCCTACATTACAGGCTAGGGGTTGTGACCAGCAAATCATTCTGAAGTTCTTTTGGCCTTTCGCTTCTGGTTTCTTCTTCAAGTACCATTGTCTGACCTAGATTCTGGTGAAATGTGTATACAGAGCTCACAAAGCTAAAACAAACAAACCACAGGTCTCTGAGCTCTGAGCAGAGCCTGGAGTTGCCTCAGCAGTTGACTTCTCCAGTGAAAGAGAGAGACATGCTGCAAATATTGGGCTAACTCTGAGCTGAAATGCCATAGAGCACTGCCCAGCACAAAGGTAGCAAGGCAGGTTAGACCAGATTGAACAACCCCAAAATGTGACAAGAATTTTTAACTGAGAGTGGGGCCTTCAAAGTTCCTTTGGTTATGGTAGTTAACTAGCTACTCAGTCCAGCAGCAAACAGGTTTCAATGAGTGTCCAATGTGTCTAGTTTCTGGAAAAAAATGAAGCCTTAACTCCTCTCCTGCACCACTCCATTGATTTCTGGTCTACTAAGTGCTTTTTATGGCCTACTCTTGCATCCTCCAAAATATTATGCTTAAATAAAACCACTGAAGCTGTTACAAAGCTGTTTCATTTACTCTATTTCTGATTAAAAAACAAAAATAAACATTTCCACATCTGTTGTGGAGTCCCAGTTTTCACTCCCTCCCTTCCTGTTGCTAATTGTTATTTTTTTTCAAGCAAAGTGCTTTCAGGCTGGAATTTGTCAGGCTTAATAATCGACCCATAGGAGAATTAGCAAGAAATTGGGTAAATTAGATTCTGGAGTTAATTAATTTGATTGTCTGCTACAGCAAACTTTGTCTCATGGGAATGATGAATGGATGTGTCCAACCTCTTTTCCAGAGCTGTTTGGTATGGTGCACGTGTCTGTCCACCTACTGAATGATGAAAGTCTGTTTCAACTTGTGTTTCATGTCCTTTGGTGCCAGCAAACTCCTTAATTTCCAAGACAGACAATCCTAAGTGTTGTAGCTGTGAATGTATTTCTGATTTTCTTCTTGGAAGCCTTTCGTTAAAAAAATATGTTCTCCCATCCCCCGCTGCATTGTGTGAGTGTGTGCGTGTGTGTATAAAAAAAAGCCAAGAATGTATCATTAGCTTTTCTGAAATCTTGGGAGTCTAGTAATTATTAGCCCAGCTGTAATTATTGCATAAAAGTAAAGAGTAAGAATACATTTCAAATTGTTTCTACCTCTTTTCCTGGTGTTATGCTCACCCTTTCCCTACACCTCTGGGTCCTAAGGTTGGTGATTTCATTTTGGTGGGGTCAGAGAATTATGATGGTTATAGAATCATGGAACCATTTAGGTTGGAAAAGACCTTTCAGACCATCATGTCCAACTCTTAAGCCAGCAATGCCTAGTCCAACACTAAACTATGTCCCTCAGTGCCACATCTACACATCTTTTAAATTCCTGCAGGGATGGTGACTCAGCCACTTCCCTGGGCAGCCTATTCCAATGTTCTGTCTAGGCATATTCATGTTTTCTTATTTCTCCTCATTCCACAATATACTTTGGGTTCTTTTGTATGTTTTCAAATAAACCTTAACATCTTGCTCTTTCTTCACTGATCTGCATCTTCACATTACACCCAAATTTACTGTGCGTGGTGGCTTTTACATATATATGCAATATATTATGCCTTCACTCTCTTTATTGCCCCTAAACCCAATTTTGTCCAGGTTCAGGTCTGCACTTTAACTGGCCGTTGGTGAGTTGTCTACAGCCTTGGGTCCCCAGTACCAGAGTGTGCCCTTTGTGCTATCACTCTATATCAGTGCTCTTCTAGACCACATCCAGTGTCTTTCCTTCTCAAGGCCCCTGTCTTCATATCAGCCCTACGTTGCTTTAAACTACATGTTTGTGTTAGAGTCATAAATATCTCTTTCTACAAAGAACGCTGGTGTTTTCTATATAAAAATATTGCTGCTACAGCTAAACTTAGTAGAACAAAGCTGCAGGCAGATTGAGAAAGGTTCAGACAGAGCTAGCCAGATGAGCCTTAACATCTTTGCAGACTCTGCTCAGAACTTATGGCCTTTTGCTAGCAGGGCAAAAGCATATTATAGGACTGCCCTGTTACACAGATTGTCTGCTTCCAAATGACACCACCTGCAACAATCTGTGGAACTACCTCCTCCCTGATTAACAGCAATGTCCAAAGCCACTGGGATTTCAAAAATCATTTGTAGTTTAAGAAAACTCACAAAACGAACCCACCTTTTTGATGTACCTGAGACTCTTCTGTGTGGTACACGGATCAGAGGGTATATCCCAGGAAAAGAGGCTGCCATGGTCCTCTAAGACTGTAATGAAGCTAGCAGTGACAGAAGTAGGATTTAATAACATTGAGCAATAGCATTTTATAAAATATATATTATACCAAGAATTAAAGAGGTTTACTCCAAGAATATAAGAATAACAAGATTTGTAGGGAGTTATATTTTTCATTAGACCAAGTAAGCTAACCTGGGGAAAATATTCTGTATCTGACAGCTTAATGAGGGGTTTGTTTGTTTGTTTTATCAACTGTACTTTTTTCCTAATAAAGAAGATGCAGTTTCTGCTTGTAAACTTTACCTCAAATAAGAATAATACATATTTGTACAGGTCTTATCATTCTGGTATCTGTTCATAATTGGTGTTAGCTGTCACATGGTTAAAAGCAATAAATTTCCTGGTGAAAAAGGGGCAAAAGAGTCTGTAGATTTCCATGCACATTTGCAGATGTAGGTGAGTCCCAGGAAACCTCACTTAGCTAATGTGCTTTCAGAATCTATATATTTGTGTTGTCTTTGTTAAAATTTTACCTCCCACTAGTAGTGATGACTAGCGACAAAGATAGACCTGCATTCCTAAAGAAAATATTCATTCTATTCTTCAGTTATCTCCAGTCAAATACATGCTTTAAACATCCTGTTTGGCTAAGAAGAGGCCATCAGTAAATTCACAGTGGCACAAGATCATGAATCTTGCTCTTGGTACAAAGTTTGATGTGGAACAAAGCATGAACCTTTTAAAGCAGAGCTTGGAAATGTTATCTACAGGAGTGGCATTGCTGTGTTTCATGCAATTATTTTTATATTCTGTACGTGTACTTAATATTCACTTAGCTTTGCAAACCAAAGTCAGTGTCATGATTATCTAACACTCTACAAATCTGCCTTCAGTTCTAGTATCAGCAAATGTAATTGAATTTAAAGTAAATGTTTGGGAGGAGAAAAAACAAATGTAAGACTTCAGTTACAAAAAGAAAAAAAATGCCTCTAATTTTATATGTGTATATATCTGAGCTTGTTTGACTTTTTCCATTTAAATGCAATTCTCCAGTGTTCTCCTTCCATGGAAAAATAAAATTCTGCATTGATGGTGAAAAAAATGTAAACACATTGCTGTTATTGAGAACAGCAGAATTAGACATGGAAAACTGGAGTTTTATCAGGAATCCTAATGGGGTTTTTTCTTAATTTCCAAAACTTTTGGGATGAGTTTAAATTGCAGTTCTAAGCAAGAATATTGTCTCTTTCAAATGCAAGTTTGACTCTAGGACTTTCACTTGAAAGGGGCATCTAAGATTCTTTTGAATTGTGTCATAAAAAATGATAAAATAGGAAGTTTCATTAACATCCTGCCATGCTTAGCATTGTAATCATTTCGAAATAGAATACTCTGAGTGTATAAATTAAAACAAAATGTTAATAACTGCCAGCCAGGCTCAACAGATGAATAGCTGCTCTCTTTATGCTGAGAGCAGTAAGGATTCTGGAAACATAAAATTTCTTTATTATACAGCAAAGTAAAGTAGAATACAGCTTTCTTTCTTGTAGCAATAGTATGTGGAGATTCCTAATGCAGACAGGTTTTAGATCTTTGATTTTCTTACAAATTAGTGAAATGAACCACAGAAGATTCTGCATGTGCTTTTGTAACTGTGAAATATTTTATTTTCTTTTGCATTCTTGATGACAGTTACACTTTAGGAGTTAAGTAGGGAGATGAACCAGCTTGTATGTAAAGATTAGTGGCATTAGGGAAAAATAGGAACTTATATAGATGCTTAGGAGTGCTAATAGTCTGCAATAAGGAGGTGCTGCTTTGTTCTGTGATTAAAGTTTACTTTTTATCTGGAACCTCAGCGCCACTGACTCTGTGCGCAATAGTCTCAGCTAATGAGCTGTGGGAGAGCAGAATTCAGCAATGATTCAGGATGCACTGCTCTGTGGCAGAAAAGGCTGTCAGTGCCAAGGCATGCAGGCAAAGAAGCCTTTGACATATGTTCAGAAGCTAAAGAAGGCCTGGGTCAGGCCGAGCACTCCCAAGCCCCATGTGTGGTTTGTGTGCAGTTGGCATTTCCACTGGGGCAGGGGGACGTCATGGCTTTGGCTGCTGGCTCAGCAGCTGCTGAGCAGGATGAGGCCGAGCAGCAATTGCTGCAGTGTCTGCTCTTCATGTCTGAACAGTCACTAAAGGTGCTGCTGCTCCTGTTGCAGTGCAAGCAAAGCAAGTTTTGCTTGCTTGAAGGTGAAACCCTTAAAAAGTGACCCAAACAAGGACTAAAGCAGAACTGAATACCCAGCACTGGCTTCTGAGAAGTATGCACCTTCTAGCAGCAGCTTTCTCTTTCAGCCAGGTCAACCACCATCATCAGTATTTGGACCTCTCTGGAATCTCGTTGTGGGACTTGCACATCAGATCTCACACTGGGGATCTCCATTAAATGGAATCGTCTGCACGATACTGAATATAGCAGGAGATTTAGATCTTTTGAGGATTTCCAGCTATAGGGCAGCCCTGGCAGTTTTTATTTTCCTCTTGGTCGATGTGGAAAAGTTGGGCAGTGGAAGAAGAACAATGGGACTGAAAAATATCTATATCCATCTGAATAACAGAGGGATGGGACTTGGGAACATTTCTTGTTATGAAAGAAGCTTGTCTCCTAAACAAGACTCAATAGTCTCAATAGTCTTGCTATAGCAAGTAAAATACAATTGTTTAATCTTGCTTGACTGAAATGTTATTTAATTAGTATACAGTGTTAAAATAAAGGTGAGATTTTGCATGGCCTTTAGAAATGCCACTGCTTAATGTGTTGTTTTTTCTGCTGTTAGAAATCAATACACATGAATGTTGGCAGAAATAACAGCCTTTTTAAAATGGGTTCACTTTGTCTACCAAGAATATCAGTGAAGTAAAAGCTGTGCATTCTTTACAAATAATTGTGTCCTTTTGATTATCTCCACTTCTCAGCTTCACAAGTATCCCAGAAAAGACACCTATGGCAATCAAATATTTCGTGTTTGGGTTTGGTGGTTTGTTTTTTTCTTCATATACTTGCCGAACTATTGTTATGATCAAGACTGAATAGATGACTACAGTTCCATAAGTTGCTCCAGCTAGACACTGTCACTTTTCATTTTATGTACTTTCTTTTTCCCTTAGGAGGAGACTGGGGAGATTAGGAAGTCCAAATATATCTTCATCTAAAAAAAGTAAATGTAGCTTGACAAATAAACATGTAAGAATCATTAGAAATTTGGCAGAGAAAAAAATATCATGATGAGCAGTCCTTTACCAGACAGTTGTTCAAAATCATACCTGGCAGCTATGGAATTTTGAATGCAGAAGGCTGTAAGACCAACTTTGCTTACACATAAATATCTTGCAGTCTCAACAGAGCTTTGCTAAAGTCTGGATCTTTCCCTCCCCAGTGTTTGCTGAATAGTTTCCTCAAGCAACACAATTGCTTTTGTGACTTGTTCCACTTGCAGAAAGTGTTCCCCAAATCTTGATATTCCCATTTGTCTGTGCTTGCTCAAGGACCTGAGAAAAGAGTCAGTAAGACTGTAGTAACCATCAGCCAGTGGCATGCCATGGAGGAGGGCAGGAGGAAGGATAAAGGAGACAGATTTTGAAGTTAAAGGGCTAAATATGGTAATTTCAGCAGCAAAAAAAAAATGATTGGTTCTGTCTTGAAATGCTTGGCAGAGGTGAACCTCGAGGATCACTGGACCTGATGTACTGATGCATTATACCTGTTTTGGCTGAAATCTGAATGACAGCATTACATATCTGTTCTCTCTGGCTGTATACAACCACTCACCTTTCTCAGCCATGAGAGCAGAAAATGAATGCATAATCCAGGCTGTTACTCACCTGTAATTCAGGTGTCACTTCCAGGAAGAATAGAAAAGTTTGCAATGGCTGTTATGCCATTGCCCAATTATTCTCTAAAAATATGTGACATATTACAGTTTGACTGTTAAAGGGTTCATGTTTACAATCCTGGTCTCACCATACTCTTTTTGTTGATACATTAGTCTTACATTGTCTTTTTGTTTTCCTTTTCTGCATGGGAAGTTTATTAATATGGCATTTCTGCTGGATATAGTTTGTTCAAGGCACAAAACCTTTAGGCCATGTTTGACCAGGGCACTACACTAGCTATCCTGAGGCCAACATTTCTGATTCAGATCACTGCATAGGTAAAGGATTTATATCAGTTGGAAACAGCTTCAGCAATGTTTAAAGTTCCTTGATTTTTCTTTTCCTTCTGATGAAGAAGATTTTGCTTGGCTTGCAATTAAGTGGAGATTTCTTCACATTTCTTTGGTTAAACTTGCAAAGCTTTGAATTTTAAGGGTGGTGTAAAAAAACAGTGCTCACTATAATTGTGCTCTTTGCTCTTCTGCCTTTTGTGGGATATTTTGAGATGATGTTTTGTTTTTTCAATGTGATCACAGGTTTGAACAACCACTCCAGGGCCTGGCTGGGCTTTTTTAATATACCTTTATTCCACATCATTTTGTTGCTTCTATTACTCAGGCTTCCCTGGGGCTATTCTTGTCTTGAACATAGTATCAAGTCATTAAATATTTTGAAAGTTTCTAAGATGTATCTATCAGGGTATGAATATGGAAGTTTTAGCCAGTATTGCTGAATCAAGTTTTTACAAATAAAAATTTAACCTTTGATAATTTTATGAACGTAGCTTTCTAATGTATGTCACTGCTTTTTTAATAAATGCAGGCTGAAGAAAAGAAGGTATCAGAAAAGACGCTTCATGCCCCTGTGTCACCTTCATCTGTACCTGACCATTTGAAGTGCAACATCCTCAAAGCTCAAGTGGAAGCTGCTTTTAGAGTAGGTGCCCAGGTAAACAGTGTTTAATACTCTGCTTTTTTAGTTTTTGTATAGCTTTCACCAGTTTTCCAAAATCCCATTGTTCCTCCTGAGGAAGAACATAATTTTTAGTCAAGTATGCACATTGACATAGTGTTCTCTAGCTGCTCTGCAGTTTCCTCAGGTAACTCAAAATGATTGATAGGGTGGAAGTAGGAAATTTATCCTAACTGACATGATTAATACAGCCAGGAGAGGCTGAGAAAATAGGAAAGATGCCTCAGGAAATCTCTGTTTTGTCACTGTAGCTTTTAGTTATTTTGTATCTTAGAAACTGAGTAACCTCTGGAGTTTTCTGAGGCTACCCACTACTCATAGAAACTGGGGTTAAGATTGTTCTAATATTAATATCTATATATCCAAATTCAATCTTTATTTCAGGGGTTGGGTCTGAGTGTGAAATATTAGCTATTCTTTTGCTTTCCTATTTGTTTGTGTGCTTTTAATTAAATATCGAGCTTCTATTTTCACTGCTTAGTTGTGTTTACATTAGATACATCCTTTTTCAAAAATACTATTTTAATTATGCCATACAACTGAAAACTGATGCTAAATAGCATGACTGCAAAAAGTTATTTTCCCTGTCAGAGGCTGAAACCTAAAATTAGTGATTCTTTTTAAGTGAAATTTGTGGACAAAAGATAATGCCATCAGTGCCAAAAAATAAAACCAAATACAAAGTTTTAGGAACAAGAATAGAGGTAGAAAGATTGTTACAATGTTATCCCAAGTTCCTGTGGTATCCTTGAGCACATTATTCTCTTTGAATACAAATTATGTTGGTATTTCCATTGCTTTGTTTCTTTTCACAATAACATAGCAGGTCAACTTGCCCTGCAAAGGACTTGGTTAACAATGAGCTTTGTGTATTTGTTGTTCCCGGGCAGATCTTTCATTTGAGAGCTACATTACCTCTGGTCTAGCTAGATTTGAGGAAGCATCAAAATTTGGTTATTCTGACTGCCTTAGATCTCAATAGCAGAAACCATAAATCTGGCAGCATAAGGAGGAAGGAGTTGTTTGGGTGATTTTTTTTCTTTTTGTTTTTGCTTAAAGCAGTTCTCTCACCTCTCTGAACTCTGTGTTGTATCCACTGTGTTTTATGCAGCACATTTCTGCCCCTAGGTTTACCTTCTGTTTTTCCTGTGTGTCTTTTCTACAGGATGTCATGGTATACCTCTCAGATTTGTATTTTCTCCTGAATATGCTTAATGATTATGTTTGACTGGATAGTTAAAGGCTGGAAGCAGTGTGTGCTGCTGCATTCAGAATACATTATTAAGGCAAGATAGGAAATGTGCTTAATGTATGCATCTCTCAATTGACCTCCTCTGCCTTAATTTTTCAGTGTGAGGCTTTCCAAGAGAAAGCATCCTGAGTTGCTTTTTCTGCCATAACCATATTCTTTAGCTGCTGCTGCTGTGTTGTAAATAACTTTCAGAGCAAACTGAGCATTCCTCTTTTCCTTCTTGCCTGTGTTGTTTTTCACAAGGCTTTAAAAATCAAATTGGATTAAGTAGATGTCTGTGGACTTGGCCTCAATGGGAAAAATCTTCTTATTTCAGGGGAAGAAAGGTAAAGAAGACTGTTACAGTATAGCATACCTTGTGGAAAAATAATTGCATAAGGTTCAGTTTGAAATCCTTGAAACTTTCACTGCTAACAAAGTGTGGCTTAAGAATCATAGCCAGTAAAATAAGAAGTCACCTTAATCTTAGAAATCCCCATTCAACTACCTGATTAGCCACAAAATTGCCTGTGTAACTAGAGATGAGTTCTTCTGCACTTGAGCTCCCCTCCTGTCAATTATAAAAGATCAGATACATTGCAAAAATAAGCAGGCAGAGACCAGGCAGTGATCAGCTGTTACAGTAAGAAGCTGTGGCTACACAAGCACTGAAAAGGGTAGGAAAAATGGTCATGGTGAAGGAACCAGTGGAAACACAACATTTATCATCTAGAAGGTGAGAGAAGGGAAGGCTGCTACAGGAGGACCTGACAAACCACTTTATAGTATTAGATACCATAAATCCACCCAGTTATAGTCTCTACCTTCCCCCAGCTCCCCAGACAACTGAATACCAATAGCTAAGCCATTTCCCAGTGGAAATCTGTCATCTGGGAAAAGTGAGCTGGGATGGAATTACACTGCTGAGAGACACAGCATCCTTTAGAGAGAGCAGATAAGGAATAATTTTTTTCATTGAAGACAACTATTTAACTCCCTATATTCCCCCAGGGCTGTGATCCTGCCCCTCTTTGATCCCATCTGACATATCTTGCTGCTTAGTATATCTGGAGGAGTAATGATGTTATCCTCTGCCCAATTCTGTCTTTTGATGCCAGTTCCATATTATATCCCTGAGAAGTCTTGCCTTCTAGCCTTCTTCTTAACACTGCAATTTCTCATCTCTTCTTTTTTGTACTGTCATATTTCAATTTACTAGGCAGCCAAAACAAGAGGTATATCTAGGTTCTGTAAGGCACAGCCTATATTCCTTGAGTTGTAAAGCAAAGTTGAAAAGCCTTGCTTTTCTTCATTTAGAGCACAGTTATTCCCATATTCCATGATAGCACAAAAAATTAAAAAAAAATAAAAAGAAGAAGGGACAAAAAAAAAGAGAATTTGCTCCTCTAGTTTGTAAAAGGAAGAAGAAAGAAACACTCTATCTTATGCACACTGGTGTTTGAAAGGAAATGTTCTTCTAAGGGCCTCCCAAAAAATCTATTGTCTAACTCGTTCATTTGAAACTTCATGGGGTTTCTTCATTATATGGTTAAGTTTAAAAGCATGAGAAAAATATTGGTGCACTGGAGGATTGTATTCAAAATTAACAAACTGTTGCTTGAAGTATTTGTAACAGCTCTCCCTTCAAGCAGTAGGAATATTTTCAATACCATATGCTACTAACATCAGGATGTGACAAGTTTATGAAAGCACCTCCTGCATGTAGTAGAAGAAGAAGCTGTTCCTTGTTAATTCAGAGAACGGAGTAAATGTTACCAAATGAAAAATATAAGTTGGGACAGAAATTTTTTGTAGTTTACCTTTTTTTTTTTTTTTTTTTTTGTGGCAGCTAGGCACCAACACAAGAGAGAGCCTTAGAAATGAATTATTCCAGTGCTTATGATTTAAAAAATGAAAGCAGGGGAAATGTTGCAAGACATTTGAAAATATATCCTGAAATATGATCTCTGTGCTTGTTCATTTCAGAATTGTGCCGAAGAGCTTATCACATTCCTAGGGGACAATACATCTCCCACAGTTATAACCCTGAGTTAGAGACAAAATTTGTAAGGTTATGGTGCTGATCACTTAGCCCTGCTTGTTGTTTAGAGTTATAGAGAAGCAGAAAACTAACATGAGTGAGGGTTGGTTTTCTTTTATTCGGTGAAGATGGGAATATTTATGTGCTGCTCATCTAAATGTAGAATCAAACTGCAGTGTGCACAGGGATGCTGGAAGCTGGATCTAGGAGCTCACTGCCATGGACACCACAGGTGAGAAACGTGAGGAGCCCACATGCAGCTGTGGGAAGCTGTGATTTGCACAGGGCATGCCATACAGTTACCTGTAGGGCGAGAGCAAATGAGTAATGTTTCACAACACACCTCTCAAACTGTGCCACAGGGATCTGCCACCTTTTAGCTGACAGACTACCTGTCACAGTTCCCACATAATTAAGCTCCAGGGGAGCCCTAAACACTGTGAAACAACTGACATATCGGTTTTTGGGGGTTTTTTTTTGCATATATTCCAGGCTCTTCATTTGAGAGGTACTCGTATAAAGCAGCAGTAAGGAGCTGTCAGAATACAAAAGACCAGCTCTCCCTAGCATTTAAAACCCCTCTGCAGTTTGCATGAGTCAGTGCTGATATGCTGTGATTGAGCAGACATGACTTGTTGGTATCACAAAGAGTCCCTTTTGCCAAAAAGTTCTTGGCCCAAGTGATGAAGGAAAGATACTTGAAGGTTTCAGTTGCTATTTTTATCCATTTTGGCTTTGGACAAATCCTAATTATCCTTAATTTTAAGCACAGGGCCCTGAGCAAATGTACAGCTATCTCAGCAGGGCTTTTTATTTTGGCAGGCAGTGTTGTAGCAGTTTTTCATCCACAAGTGGTGTCTGTATTCTGCACCTGTTACCCAGGCTTTCCTAAATCCTTGGGTTGATGTGTGTCCAGGAGGTTAGCCCAGGGAAGGATCCCTTTTCTCACAGATTTCTACTGCAGCTGATTTTTGCATCACTCACATTTTCCCCTTGTCTGCAGACAAGGGAAGGCCAAGCTCATTCTGCAGGTACATTTTTGCAGTGCAGTTTATAGAAGACAAATACAGGTGTCATTACTACTGAGCTACATTATGGGTTGTTTGCTGAGAAGGAAAAGTGGTGAGAAAAGGTGGTTTGGAGCTACAGGATCCTTACAAAAGAGCATACAAAGTCCCATTTATTTTGTCCCTTTTCAACCCCAATGGAAACTCTTGGCCAGGGAGAGGTATCTTCAATCAGCCAGGTTTGGGTTCTCAAGCCATTGATTCCCCTGCCTTGGTTCTCAGTAAACAAAGGGACATTTAGGCTGAACAAAGGGACGTTCAGTCCTCTAACTCCTTTCACACTCTAGCTTTCTTGACAAGCCTATACACATGCAAATTTTTAGGCCAGGTCGATAGCCATCTCTCTCTTTTTTCTCCCTTTTCTAAAAAGAAATACAGGTTGAATATAATGTAGTTTTGCCTTAAGTATTGCAAATATGTGAATAAGTGCAGGTTGTCTGTGTTGTTTAAAGTGTTCTTGAGGAAAGGACTGGTCCGTGGTAGAGAAAATAGCTCAGGTCATGCAGGATACTGGTGTCATCCTGTGCTCTCTACATAGATGCAAGCCATGGCTGCAATGTAAATGAGACTGGCATCTATGCATTATTTATGGTAGAAAAAGTGCAGGAATGAGGTGATCCACAGTGCCAGTCTGTCA